TTATGGCAAATATTTACAAATAATTATCTCACATAAAGGTTACATAAAATCAATTCTTCACAAGGAACAGTCACTCATGAAAAGACACAGATATTGAAACTACGCCAACCTTATTGCATGTTTCTCCAGCTAATTTAAAATAAAGGTGTTGCAGTCAACCATTTAACTTAACATAAGACCACAAATCCCAGGTTTGACGAGAAAAAAAGTTAAATTAAAAAATTAAACCATCCCAGTGCCCCCCCAAGTCCCACCCGAAGCCCCACCCTTCCCCCAACAAAAGAAAAATATGTCCAACATCTTTGGCAAATTGGCACGGCTGTAATTACATTCAAATATTATCACACACAAAAGCAACACACATCACTAAGAAAAAAAACCACCAATATTTCAAGTCAGTTCTACTAGAAAAAAAAGAATATAAAACATACACACTTTTAAGAAGCTTTTTGTTTCTCAATCTGTTGGAGACAGATCATCTCCCACTTTCAAAGGCAATTCAATTGTGTGGTTTTATTTATTTTTTGTTGGTTTTTTTTTTGTATATTTTTTTAACAAGCGTCTATGCAGGCATCACAAACTTTGGCGGATACAGTAGATATGCATTTCTTTGATGCTGGGCCAGTCCCTAGGACAGTGTTAACCATCTAAAAGAATGAGAAGCAAAACCCACGAGTTCCATCGGAATGTCATCTGCATTCCTACAAATACTCAATGTCCTCAGGCCACTAGAGGATGACAGACCAGGGCAGCATCGTCCAGCAGGAGCCAGGGCCACAAAATTCTACCCCCTTCCCACTGTGAGGGGGACCCTGTAGCCTGGCAGAGAAGAGGCGCATTGGCAACAGCAGGCCCTCACTGCCCACTACCCACCCCGTGCTGGTGGCTCGGGCCTTGGGGTCAACTCTGTCCCTTTCTGAGCCTCAGGACAGGCTGCTGCTGGGTCTGCTCACCTGTGACCAAAGGCAAGGAGAGCCAGCAAGAACTGGCCCCGGGAGACACAGCAGTTCTTCTGAGTTCCGTGTCCTAGTATTAGAGAGAGAGAGTGTGTATGTGTGTGGATGTGTGATAGAGGTATGTGAGTGTATGAGTGTGTGTGACTGTATATGTGGTGAGACTATGTCCGTGTGTGTGTGCATGCGCACGTGTGTGTGAACTCCCTTGTTCATGCACGTGTGCACACGGCATGAAGAGGAAGGCCTGACTATGAGGCTCTGAGTTTTGCAGGATGTTTAAAATAGACGGGATTTATTTTCTTTTTAGCTTTATAGCAACTAATTGGCTATTGATTAGTTGGAATTTTCAACTCTCCATTTCCTCAAATATAATAAAATCGTTTCATTAAAATGTACTCATGCTTGGAAACGAGGGGGTCATTAAGTGGTTTCCTTTCTGTCCCACTCTAAGTGAAATGTACCATTTGTAAATCAAAAGCCCATCGTCACATGTTATCAGTGGTGCTTTTGGAGAAGACCAGGGATGCACCGTCTGAATGGTGGTTTGGGGGACTGTACCCCCATGTGCAACTTAGCAGGTGAGTGAACCAGGTCAAGTGAGACTACAGATTGGTCTCCTGAAGCCAGGTCTTAGAGTCAGTGGGAAGCACAGAACTGCCAGTCCCTCGTCTTTTATTTGTTTTCTTTCTGCCCTCTCTGCTCCGGGCTCAAAGCTGTCCAGGCTGAGCCTGATCCCCCTGAGAGGTCACCAACATGCCATGCCACTCCCACAGTGAGGACAGAAACAGCAACTTGGTGCTGCTCAGGAGACTAAGGTGTGGTCAGAAGAATCTAGAGGTACTAAAGGGTGGCTGTGTTCAACCTCATCTCACCTGGAGACGAACTCAGAGGAACTTCTGGATTAAAACCCAGGAATGGCAGTGATCAGATATGAGTTCCCTGTTGGTCCTGGGAGTGTCCAGGAACTGGTCCTCAGTGCTGAGGAATCACCAAAGACCGATAGATGGGTGCCTGCTGCTCCCAGCATGCCCCTCTCTCTACAGAAACTGCATCTACATCCAAACAGCACCTGGGCAAGGGACTCACTATGTGCCCTGCAGCTGGCCCTTGGGGACCTGGCTGCCACTGGAGGAACAGCCTTAGCTGACAGCAGGCAAGTGTGGATCGACTCTGTGGCTCCCTCATGAATATGCAGAAAGGAATCTTGAGGTCCAGGACAACAGGGCCAAGGGGCTGAAGCGGCCACTGGGAGGTAGGGCAGACTCAAGGCGAGATGTCGTGGCCTGACTGTCCACGTCTCCAGTCACGGATTTTGTTTCCTTTTAAGAAATGCACATGCCTTGGACCTCTGGGAGGTAAAGCACTAAAGGAATAAATTTACCCAGGTGCACCACTTTGTGCCTGGAAACCATCACAGGCAGACTCCAGATGGGCGACAAGGCCAGGGCCACCATGGAGCTGGTCTAACGCAGAGACTTACGGGGTCAGCCTGCTCTAGCCTGGCCTGGCCTGTGAGGGGTCTCCTGGGAGACCGCGTTTCTGTCTCCACTTGTTCCTAGTATTTGTTTGGGAGTGCTTGGTTTGTTTTTAAGATTTGCTCCCCATGGCTTGGAGTTAAATTCTAGCTGAAATGTCACCCACAAGGGGGTGGATGGAGCTGAGGCTGCCAAAGGCACAGCCGTCCCTCCGAAGCCCGACTCCTCATAAAGGGATTTCACTCCTCAATGCCCTGTGGCCACATCTGGGGCTCCATACACAGAAGACTGCCAGCTCCCCTCAGACCCACCACGTGCATCTTTCACCCCACCACCACTTCCCAAGTTCAAACTGGTTGCACATCTCCCATCCCCCTCCCGTCTTCTCCAAGTGTTCGCGGAAGAGTGAGGAGAGACTAGAAGGGCTTTTGACAAGACTGTGGCTCACAGGTCGGTGGCTGATGGGCTCCATTCAGCCCATGGGTGCCTTTCCTTTGACTAACCGGGTGTTTTTAAAGTTTTCACTATTGAGATGCCCATCATGCTCTAGACACCGGGAGATGCACCGTACCCTGCTGCTTTGTACCCTGCCCAGAGGGTGGCTTTGAACCACCTGGCTGGGCTCAGACATTGCAATCTGGACAGCCCAGGCATCCCTGCACATTGCCACAGTTTGTTCCAAAGTAGAAAGGGCAGAGAAAAGGGAACGGAGATGGCTCATGGAACTGCTGTTTTATGCGCTGCGAGCCAGAACCTGTTCGTGTCTAGGCCCTGCCAGGGACTGTGACATGGGCTTGGACACACTGTCCTGGGAGCCTCAGGGTACATCAGGAAAAGGCTCCATGTGAACACTTAAAAGTGTTCCTGTGAATTTAGGTAAAGACTGAAAGTGTCAGTGTTAATGGGACCAGCAAGGCCACCAGTCCCCAGCCCCTTCCTGTTACTGGACCAACTTTTGGGCTCTGTTCTTTCCTTCTTGTGGGTCTGGGGGAATTCTGGAGTGCTAAGGGGTGGGAGTCTTCAGGTCATGCACTTCATGACAGGAGCTCTCAACTCTGTGTGCCAAGAATGTGGCTCGGGGATCTGAGGATTCTCTTCATCCTTATCTTCACAGGGAGCCTTGGACGTCAGGATTTTTGCCCCATGGGATAGTGGAGCATTACAAAGCAGTGTCGGTTATGAAGGCACAATCTCTAAGCAGGTGCCTTAGCAAAGGTGGGCTTGGTACCTCATCACAAGTGCTCAGGCTGGAGCTGGACAAGTGGTGTGAAAAGATCTCTTTTCACCCAGTTCAAACAGGACTGAAGGAGGAAGAGCCAGGCCTCCTGCCATGGTGCTGGGGAAGCCTCAGACTCCGTTTTGAATTCTCTGGCATGTGCCTCTGCAGTGTGCGCGTGCTAGCTGGAGAGAGCAGGTGTGCAAATGTGAGAACACTCACGTGCGTCTGCATCTCAAGAGCCGGCGAGAGCAGTGTGTGCGTGAGCAGCCATGTGCTTCTGCTCCCTTGTGCTTCTCCCTGGTACCCCAGGAACCACGGGGTGTCTCACAAATACAGGCTCCAATCTGAGGCCCAGCAGCACCTCAAGGGAGAGAGGAAAGACACACAGACGGAGCTCCTTACATGGGCATGATCAGGTGGCGGGGGAGGGGGAGCCACTGCTGGGCTGGGTGGGCTTTGCTGAGGAAGGAAGGAAGGAAGGTGTACACATGGAAGGCTGGCACAGGGAGGCTGCCCTCTTGCAGCTTGGAACTGCCAGGAGCCCAGGGTGAACACCACTCTAAGAGACCAGCAGCACGGGACAGAGGAGAGATGAGGATGGGGCCTTCTCCTACCTTAGCTGACAAGTGGAAGCTGAACGCAGGCCACTCAGCTCCTGGAGGTGGGCTGGGGCCCCGGCTGCCTTCCTTTGCCAGCAAGTTCCCCAATCACTAAGCCTGCTTCGAGCTCACGCGCCTCGCCTCTGGCCGGGTGACGGGAAGCCTTGGCAGTTGTACCTGTTCGGAAGCCTGATCTGGCGTACCGGGACAAATGGTGCCTCCTACCATCCTCACGGTCCCCTTCCCTCCCGGGTACAAGAGATGGCCAGATGGAGGTGACAGCGACCGCCATGTGCTAAAGGGGCCCGAGTCCCAGCCCTACCTCTGCCAGTCAATGGGGACTCCACTTACCTGAGCCTCAGTTTCTTCTTTTGTCCCACTGCCCTGTGGGAGGTATTGAGGCACAAAACACTCGTGTGTGTGTGTGTGTGGGGGGTCTGTTTGGTCTCCCCCTCTGGTTCTGGTTCCCTAAGCTGGGCCTCAGTTTCCTCTCAGAACTAACCCAGGTCTTTCTGAAGGCTTTTCGGTTCCCGCCCTTGTTTTACACTTGACTGGAACGTTAGCAAGATCCCACGTGCTTGCTCAAAAGGGAGGGCCTGCCCCAGGTGACACCGCCCCTGCCTCAGCCCTGGGACGAAGGGAGGAAGGGAGAGGAGGAAAACTAGTGAGCTCAGCCAGCTGTCAGCCCAGCAGAGGCTCAGAGAGGTCAAGGGTCTGAGGTCCCACAAGACAGCAGACCCTAGGGACGCTGTCATGTGAAAACGGTCCTGTTAAGCCTCAGTTTAGACAGGGGTTCTCCTCTGCTGTTTGGAGTTGGCAGGACGGACTGTGCAGAGAATAGAGGTTCCAGATGAATGAATTGTATCACCGCCCCCCCCCCCGAGACTCAAGCCCACCCTCAAGTCGCCCACCGGTTCCTCAGTGTTTGGCCTGGCCCTCCCCTGGCCCTTCCTCTGTCTCCCACGGATTCCTCTGCCTTCCCACAGCGAGTTCCATCTCGACACCTTGTATGAACAAGCTGGCCTGCAGGTGTAGGCCGGGCCCCTGCCCCCATCCCCAGCACCTCCGTGCCCAGCCACACTCTGTGCTCCCCAAGGGTGGCAGCGCTGCTTGAGAGGAAGCTCGGGTCCTGGCTGATGCCTGCAGGGTGTGCTGGTCCCCAGTGCCGGCATCAGTCCTTTCTGCCAGCCACTGTCTCTGTGGCTGGGACAGACTCGCCCAGGATCCAGTCATTGGGGTCCCAAAGGATGGTTGCAAAGTGCCCATGGCTGATGTCCAAAGAGGTCTGAGCTCGGGCGTGCCTCGGCAAACATACTCAGTTTGGTGGTTCCAGGGGCCAGGAGGACCATCGGACCCTGGCCTGGGTCCGATGATCTTTTGATCCAGATCGCTATTCAGAGTCACAATGCCATCAGCGCTTGGATGGATGACCTCTTTCTTTAGGACAGCAGCTGTCCCAGACAGTTCTCTTGGAGTCCCTTGATTGAGAAAAGGACCATTGACACTACGGTGGCTCTGTGGAAATGGAGGCAAGAGGCCAGGGTGTCTCCCTGGAGTGTATTCCTCTTGGGGGGAACCTCAGGGGAAGCTTGTGCCATGACCACCAGTGAGCCTTGTAGATATTCGAGAAGTGAACTAGAGGCCGGGCATCCTCAAGGTGGCCACTATCAGTTTCAAAGACGGCTTTGAGATACCTGACAGGGCACCAGGGCAGAGGGAAGGGTGTTCTGTGCAGAGGTGGAAGATAGCCTGTGCATTGTGGGTAATCTGCTCTGTCAGACCTTCAGGGCCACAGGGAAGAAGAAGGTATATACATGGGTTCTGGGAAGCAACAAAAGCCAGCTCTTTCTTGCGGGCCTGCCGTGGCTGAAACCCACAGATGGTCAGACAGTCAGGAGGACTGGTAGGCTGGGCTTGGCTGCAATGGTCTTCAGAACAGCAGAGACCCTGTCACCGCTTCGGAGAAGCTTGTCAATTGACTCTTGACATGGATAAGAATCCAGAAGTCCAGCCGCCCTACCTGGATCCTAGGCAGGGAAAAATGGAGGGGAGGAGGATGCTTCAGCTGTGTGTGGGATGGGGCGGGAGACGACATTGTTGGGCCCCTCTGTCTGTCTGGGGGTTAGGAAGCTGTCTACCTCAATGAAACGCGTTGAAGAATCGGTGCCCACATGGCTCTGAGGGTCAGTGGCGGTCATAGGCGGTGGCTGCGGCAGGTGGGGCCGCTCCTCGGGCTGCGGCGCTGTAATAGTATGGGGAGCCTGGAAGAGACAAGAGGGCACTGAGGTGAAACCGGGGGTCCCCTGCCCACCAGTCTCCCCTCATCCAGTTAGGGCCACTGTCCACTCTCCCTAAGATCTTTGTCCTGATCTTTTTCCTGAACCGCCAGTCGGATCAGCGCCACCCAGAGCTGCATGCAGACTGAAGGCCCTGGTTTCTCTCCTGGCTGCTGCTGCTGCACGTGGTCTCCCTTCCTTTTGTGTGGCTTCTGGCTGCTTCCATGTCATTGAGAAGAGCTGGGTAGTTGTCCCGATGGACCACAAAGCCTAAAATAGTTAGTGTCTGGTCATGTGTAAAAACGTCTTTGAGGCCTTACCTACAGCAAGGATAAAAGTGTTCAGTTTCTTGTATGATTGACAAGCCTTGGCCAACCTCCCTGGGCTCGTTGGCCAATCTGCCCATTATTCCCGGCCATACTCCACACCACACCCAAAGTTTGTGCCTGTCGTCTACATGGGTCATCTCATTCAAATGTAGGGGGCAGGGCCAGTGACCCCATTTTATTAGACTCGGGACTCCTGCCTGGAGTTCCGGGCCTGTGCCCTTATCCTCTTTCCTGCCTAGGCTTCCTCCAAGTCCTAGGACCCTGCCTTTCTCCTCTGGGAAGACTCTCCCATGAGCTCACTTTCCTCCACAGGTGGAGCCACACGGGGTGACCACCTCTCTCCTTGTGCATGTCCCCTCTCCTGGGGCAGAGAATCCTAAAGAGTGAAGGCCTGGGCTCTGGCCTTCTTGGCATTTGCCCCCAGCTTCCAGCTCTGCTCAGTGAGGATCCTGGTGTGAAGGAACAATGGCCCTGAGTGAACAGCCAGTAGTGGGGACCCTGCTCGGCCGCCCACTGGTTCCCTCACTTCCTCACCTCATGGGCTGCAGGCACGGGCAATAGTGGGCAGCCAATTCAACATGGCTGGACGCTCAGAGTTCAGGGGAATCTGACCCCGGGCACGTTAGCTCACACGTATAATCCAGGGCTTGGGAGCCTGAGGCAAGAACATTGCCAAGAGTTGAAGACCAGCCTACATACTGAGACCCTTTCTTGGGAAGAAAAATTTAAAAAGGAGTTTGTGCCCTGGGAAGTGGGGCTTTCAGACAAGCTCTGGTGACCACTGACAGAAAGGGGGATTGGTCTGGGCTCAGGCATGGACATGGACGGGGCGGGGGGGGGGGGGGGGGGGGGGGGGGGGATGGCGGAAGTGAGTGTGGGATAAGGCCCCTTCCTGTGACCTCAGGACAGAGTGGTCCCTGGGTTCCTCTCACACCTCTGGACTCTTTCCTGCTTTTTGGACATGTTCTCTAAGGAAGCTCCCAGTAGTCCTATCTACACTAAAACTCTTCCCAGGGACTTGGGGAGCTGGGGACCCAGGGGCCTGGCTGGATTCTCAGACCACAGAGGCCAGAGCTTCAAATCTCTCACAGTGAGGATGTTCAGCAAAATAAAAACCCACTTACGTCACAAAGTCCCTCAGTACTGGATCCTGGCCGTGAACCCAGGACGTGTGTCCTTGGCAAGGGGTTCATTCACCACAGTACAGCTCAAGGTCGACACCAGAGGGACAGGCTTATTGCAGCAGGCAGGGGTTGGGGCTCTGTCAGCCAGTCTTGTGGGGTGGGCTTAATGAGCTGAATTCCCAGAGGAATGGGCTTGGATTTCTTCTGAAGTCTCACTCGAATCCAAACCAATCCTGACTGTTCTCCCAGACACCCTAACTGGGGGCGGAGCCCGGCTGTGCTCCCAGACACCCTAACTGGGGGGGGGAGCCTGGCCGTCCTCCAGACGCCCTAACTGGGGGCGGAGCTGTGGGGTTTTCTTCACGGGCCCAAACATGTCTCAGTAAAAGGCCTTGACCAGGCGGATTTGCTCCCCTGAGCCTCAGTTGTTTTCATCTTTAAAAAGGGGTCACAGGGGGGCAAAGTGAGGGCACCCAGGAATGAGTGTGTGATGGGGCTGTGGGAATGGTCACTTTCTTCTAACTTAACTCTCAGGCAGGAACTACGACTGTCCCTGTTTTATGGATGAGGGACACTTGCCGAAGCCATTTGGCTAGCATGCAGTGGGGTAGGGGGCACTTTGGCATCCGGACTCCCTTCTACACTCAGCCTCACAGGCTGGGCCACTCTTGCCCCTGACTCAGGAAGACGGAATAGCCTCAGGCATCGATAGTGCCGTACCTCTCCTTGCTGTTCCAGAAAGCCCAGGCAAGCATTCTACACCCAGGAATCCCCAAAGACACTCTCCTGCGGCCTCCAAGGTCACCTCCCCACTCCAGCCCTGACTCTTAGGTCTGTGGGATGGGCCAGCAACAGGGTGGGGGGGTGGGGTTCGTTCCCTGCAGGTCTGGAGATTGCACAAGAATATGAAAATCATAGGGGCTGCCCTCACAAAGGGTCCACGAGGGGCAGGGGGTAGAGGGAATGGCTCTCTAGAAGCCCTGTGGTGAGGTTTCCAACTTCCTCCCACAGCTCTGTTCACCCCGCAGGGCTTAGCCAGCCGGGGTGGCAGCCCTGGCTGTGAGGGTTTGATTTACCACAGAAAATGAAAACATCACCTCATAAAGCACTCTGTCTTCTTGGTGCCCATTAGACCTCCACTAGAATAAACTTGTCCTTCCTCCTGTCATTTTTCCTCTCTAATTCACATTATCATCAATTTACCTCGTGACACAGCCATTCCAGGCTGGCTCAGGCCTGGTCCCCTCCCTAATCCCTTTACAGCGGCCACAGGCCGCCCTATTCTAATCCTAATTGACCATGGCCTGCTTCTCTGCTGCCAGACCTGCCAGCTCTGCTTGCCTCTGCTGCCCCTCACCAGCTTGGGGGGTCCCACAGGATGGGGGAACCCACAGGATGAGGTGCTGAGGGGGGCTCTCAGTCCTCACTCTGACTGTGTTGGTAAAGGAGGCTTCATCCAGGTCAGCCGGGGTACCTGAGGGGCCGGTGCAAGGCTGTGTCTGAGTGGGAAGAGTGAGCTGTGATGTGTGTCTTCACCTGAGCCTGAGGAAACACAGGACAGGTCACCACATTCCTGGCCTCCCTCACCCCAAATCAGAGGAATCATCAGACTGGTCTTTCTAGGCTGAACCACGGGGTTTGTTTGGCCAAACCACTGAAAAGTCTGTGGCAGGGCCTGTATGATGGGAGCAGACTGGCGCTGTTTGCAGGGCTTGTGGTCAGGTGAGCCACGTGTCTTCGTCTACATGCAAGCAGGATCCCTGTGGATCCAGAGCCCCATGCCTCGAGAGCTTCGCCTTCAGGGCCTGAGTGAGAGAGAGGCTGCCATGGTAACCATCCTCATTTTATCCCCGGGCCGAGGCCCAGGCTGGTGGGTGGCCTGACGGATCCAGGTTATGGACTCGAGCCCCGCAGGATTTACACACCTCTTGTGGTGGCACTTTTCCTGAGGCACAGGCCCGCCTCTGACTCGTCCCCCCAGCTTCCCTTGCGGCTGGGGCTCAGGCGTTCTACCTGAGGGCTGCCTACTAGACTCCCTTGTGTTGGACATTGATGGAGAAGAAAAGCCACTTAAGGAAGTGGGCTGGGGGGACTCCATTCACTAGGAACAGGTGTCAAAGGCCTCCATGTCTGAATGGTGGCAGGGAACAGCTTCCCATGCTGTCGAGCCCCTAGGGGAAGCTGCACCGTGGCGTAATTGGTGGGTGCCGGCTGGCAGCAATGGGGTGCTTACAGCAGAGCAGGCCTGCCGTGCAACTGGGTGCGTTCCTGGCCCTTGTCCCGTGCCCGTCTATTGAGTCAGTCTGGAGATTCTGGGACTCTCTGACGTCCTTTACTAAATATGCTTCTGCTTAAATGAGCCAGAGTGGATTCTGTTGTTTGCAATTATGCGTCATTAACCTGGCTCTCAAACCCAGCCACACAAGGCTTGAGTGTTGAGGGCCCTCACCTGTTTCTGCAGGGGCCCACGGCCTCCTTCCAGCTGTGGCTGTCCAGCCTGAATTAGTTAGGGAGCCTGAGAGACTCCCACCACACACTAAGGATGCCGACTCTGGAGCCGAGGAGATAGATACCTTGTCTGTCATCTGCCCGTGGGTGCATGAGTCTGCCTTTCTGAGCCTCACTTTGCTGTATCTCAGAGATGTTAGGATGGTCCCCACAGGGCGTTTGAAAGCATAAAATGAGACGACCATGTGAAGCATTTCCCATGTGCCTAGATAGACTGCAGATAATCAGAGTTCGGATTCTGCTGCTTCCCCATTTCCCTGGTCCTCCTGAAAACCCTCAGCACCTAGCACAGGTACACCTGCACAAGGCTCCCTCACCCCGAGCCTGTGAGATCACTGGACAAAGCCTGGCATTACGGCCTGTGAACTGGCTTTTACTTAGACTTGAGCAGAAAAGCCTCAGGTCCCCACCCACCCTTTGGACATGTCACTGCCCTGCCGACTTCTCAGCCTGGTTCAAAGTCCCTCATTCCTGCATATTCCACAACCATCCCAACTCCAATACCACCCCTGGGCAGTTTCATCCCCACTGCTCTGCCCCTTAAATCCCCAGAAGCGAGCGTCACTGCTAATCTCGGGGATGTCTTGTGAAAAGCACAACATGGTGACTCCTCTTGGCAGGCGGGGTTTTGTGTCACCATGGGCTGCATTCCTGTCCTTCTTGTGTTCCCTAGGCTGTGAAATCAGGCCTGGGTCAGTGTGGCCTTAGATAGCCATTCCCGCAGGCCCCAGACCTCCTGTGAGATACACTCCCTGTGAGTCTCCCCGTAGAACTGGGGCCAGGGAGTCTGTTGTAAGGCAGGCCGGAACTCTCGCTCACATGGAGCATCAATGGCCGGCGCCCCTCTTCCGTCCACAGTTGTGTGTGACACACCGGAATGCTTGGAGTAGGCCAAGGTCCCCAGAGCATATCCCACGCCCAATCTGGTGGTACTGAGGAATGTGGCATCCGTACCATGCTCTGTCTTAGCCAAACCAGACCGGGGAAGGAATCAAGGCTGAGACCTCACAGGCCTACGGAATGGCAATAATTGAGGAGCCGGGGAATTAGTGGGCTCTCGCTGGAGGAGGTCTTGCTAATGCGGACAGACAGGCCAGAGCAGTCTCAAAAGCGCCCCCTTTCACTGCTCCAAGTAGAACATCTTTAGCTGACTTAGGGCTGAGAGCCGTATTGTAACCCATTAGTCTATTGGCTGGTTCTAGCTGCTAAGGGGCGACATCTGCATCCAGGACCTCTGTTTCAAGTTACTTCTGCGTTGACGGACCCTCATCTGCTGGTTTCATGTGGGTTTAGACTAACAAAACAAATGGTTCTTCTTGAGCCTTGGAGGGCAAAGTCAGTCCTGCTTGGGGTGTGAGTGTGTGTGTGTGTGTGTGTGTGTGTGTGTACACAAATATACTAGGATAGTCACAGACTAGACTGTTCCAGCCATGGACATTCTGCCAATTTGAGTCTTGGATAAGGGTTAGGCCACCAGCTGAGCCCTATACAGCGTGCCTTGGCAGGCCACAGGGCAGCTGGTTCCTAATAGAGCTGGCACCGGTTGTGCCCATAGCAGACATCATTAATCAATCACTGGGCCTCAGAGCCCTTAGCAAGACAGTGTTCCAGGCAGCCAGCACCAATCAATCCAAGTTTGTATTTCCAGTGCCTTTTATCTAGGGAATTGCACTATGTTTAATAGTTCTTAAGACAGATTACTTATGGGCAAGCACATTCCCTGCTTCCTTTTCCTTCTCACGTTCCCGCTCCCTTGAGCTGCAGTGGCATTAACTGCCCTAAGACCACCTATATTCCACATTCATGGGGCAAAATACCCATCTCACCCCAGCTGACCAGACCTTGAGAGGGACCCTGGCCCCATGAGGAAGCCAAGCAAGGCATCCGAGCACCCAGGGACCCCATAGGACAGTACTCACCAAGCAGTCCTGGGTTGGGGAACCTCCATGAGTCATTGTAGGAGGAATACTGAGGGTGACTGTAGGGGCTCCCAGAAAATTCACTCCCTGCAGGAGGTGGGAAGAGAGACAAACAGGAGACAAATGTTAAATTAGGCTCAGACAAGGCTGTGGGTTCAAGCCAGCTTAAATACTGAATGAGTATGGAAGGCACTTGTCTCCTCCGCGAGCTTCAGGTACTTTTGGTAACCAACTATAGCAAATCGGGGCTATATCCTCATGCAGGGAGCTGTCTGTTCCACCCTGGAGCGCTTTGTATCAATGGGAAGAGAAGTCACAGAGTCATCATGTGCAGGGTTGGGGGGTCTCACTTGGTACACCTGCCTAAGCTCAATCCTAGCCTGCAGGGCTGTTGACACTGGCCGAGGCTCCTAAGGACCCTAGTGTGGGTTGGTCCCATTCCCCACGGCCTCAGCTCTAGTGTGGCCACTCTGTGCTGTGAATTCAGAGTGACTGTGCCAGGGGCAGCCGGCTGGACAGGGCCGTGAGACCCAGGGCCAACCCCGTGTGTCTGGAGAATGCAGACAGCACCCTGCTGACATGAAGGGACAGGCTAATGCTTATGAAATCCAAAAGAGGGAGTGGGCTGGGGTCTTCTAGGCACTGGGGAGGACAGTTGCTCACGTTGTGGGCATGCTCAGGCAGGCCCTGTGAGGTGTGCGTGGGTGAAGGGAGGGTGGCGTGGGCCCAGAGGACAATTCGCTCAGATCCAGCAACCCGAGGAGCTGAGCACCCACCCCTGGCTGTCCCCTGGGTTTGCTGTAGCCCCAGGGGACTCTCTTTTCTGCCAGCTAGGCCAGGGCACAGGTTCAAATCCTGTCCCCACACTCTGGTAACCGCAGATGCTGCCCATTTCCTCTTCCCTTCTCCCTACAGCTGGGCCCCCGAGGGCAGACTGGGTTCTCCAGCCTCCACGCCAGTGTCTGAGAGCCTGGTGTGTCTAGCAGAGGCTTTGGAGCAGGGCACAGAAAGCCAGTGGGGCATTGAACAGTTTTCTTAAATCTCAGGTAGGGCCCTCCCCTGCCGGAGACGACAGGAGGTACATGGTCCTGAGAGACAACCTGCGGCCAAGCATGACTCCATGATCCCCCTAAAGGGAACGCACAGAGGTCAAAGGGCAAGAGGCTGTGGAGGAGGCCAGTCCTCCGCCCACCTCATAGGCAAGCACAGGCAGAGTGTACACACACACACACACACACACACACACACACACACACACACACACACACTCCTGCTCAGGCCTCTCCTGGGGCCACTCCCAGCCTGACAGGCTGAGCCTTCCAATTCTCTGTTTTTTATGCCTCAGTGGTCAGGGTGTCAGGTTCCGGCATACAGAGGGAGAAAGTGGTGACAGTGTTGGGCGGCACAGCCCAGCCTCCGCATACCCGTCAGCGACAGGGCCTCCTCCCCCCCTTCTTCTTCTTCCTCCTCCTCCTCCCCCTCTTCCTCCTCCTCCCCCCCTTCCTCCTCCTCCCCCCCCTTCCTCCTCCTCCTCTTTGAGAAGCAGGTTGCGGGGAATCTGGTTGGAGGGAGGCCTGGATAGGGGGACACACTGTCCCCAAGGCTCTGACACCATAAACTGCCCGTCAGAGGTACACCCTGGTAGTGCTGAGCCTGGTCTATCTCTGGGTAGCACCATTGCTCATACTGCCAGGCCGCCTCTTCCAGGAAGCTTCTCTGAGCTCCATCCCCCAAGGGGCGGGGCAAGTCCCAGGGCCACTCAGCTGGAGTGAGCTGGCAGGGACCCCTGGAGGTCTGTGAAGGTGCCTAAGCAACTTCCAAATCCGGCAGAAGGTGAGCCTGGCAGCACCGCCACGTTCTTCCACCTATGTGGTTCCAGGAGGCACCCTTTCCTGCCCCCCCCCCCACTGGCACACAGTCTCCTGCACGATCCTCTAGTGTCTCATTGCCCTTGCCTTGGGTGAAGTCCCCACAGCATGGGAGAGTCTGGTCCTGCTGGTCTGTGCCCTGCCTGCTCCCCACAAATCACCCTGTTTCCAGCAGACAATAGTTCATTGGTATCCCCATGGCACAGAGTCCCTGAGGCTCCCTCCTACCCTCTTTCTGGGCCCCATGCAGGAGAGGCCCTCCCTGGATGTGTTCCGTGACCAGCCCATCCTTCTGTCCTGCCATGGTTTATTCCACAGAGCTTATCACATCCCAACCTGTCTTGTTCACCACGCTCATCTTGTTAATTATCTGTCTCTTCCACGAGGCTGATAACTCCTTGGGGACAGAGTTTTGTCTGTTTATGTCTCGATCCCAAGCTTCATCACCAGGCTTGGCATCCATCTAGCATGCATGGATGACTAATTGTTAAGTGAGTGAGTGAGTGAGTGAGTGAGTGAGTGAGTGAGTGAATGAATGAAACTCCTAGGTCAACCAGGGACCCATTACCAAGTGGACCTCTAACTTGGACAATGGCCACCACTACTTCCAGTATTAGCTTCCACAATTTAAAGCAATTTCTGATTCATTGTCCCACAGCCTCCTGTGCCCAGAGGAAACAAGCCACCAGGACCCCTACCTGGTGTGCTCAGAGTCAGGGTGAGGTGGGCACCTGGGTCCTTGTCCTGTGACATGCCCTGTTAGACTAGTATATTCTTGGTAAGGGGAGCTTGGCCATCTTAGGGACATGAGGCTGACCTAGAGGCTCTCCAGTCACCTGTTGGGGACTCTGCAATGGTGCCTGATTATGTAGTAATCTAGCAGAGTTTTCGGAGTGGAGAAGCCAGAGTCTTACGACCAGGGAAGCTATCCACAGATCTGGTCCACGCAGTCCCAAAGGTGGTTGTGGGACAGCAGACTGACCAGGTGGACACCACAGTCCTTGATCAATTTGGCACAAAGTCGAGGATGTGGGGCCAGGCTTCATGGGTTCAAATCCTGAGCCTGCCTTTTCAAAGTTCTGGAACTCTCAATGGGTTACGCAACTCCTCTGCCTCAGCTCATTCTCTGACAAGTTAGGGCAATTTCAAGCTCGTGTGGTACTGTGGAGCGTTCAGAGGATGCTCATGTTCCTCCACCAGTCAGTCACCAAGCCCTCCGCCACGTCCAGGATCCCACTGAACCTCCGAGGCACCCTGCGATGCTCACAATAGTGATAAAGCTGCATTTCAGATGTGAAATGTTCTCACTCAGGCCAGAACACAACTCCCTGTTCTTGTCTCCTGGCCCTGAACTTGCTTATCTTTAAGACATTGTTTTCCCACCCTGGACCTCTGTTTCCTCATTTGTCAAAGAACAGAGCAGACCAAATGTTTTCAACCTTCCCAAAGCTGTGACCCTTTAATACAGCTCCTCATGTGGTGACCCCCAACCATAAAATGATCTTGTTGCTAATTCATAACTGTAATTTTACCGTAATGAACTGTAATGTAAATATCTGAGATTTATATATTTGTATATACATTTATATCCGATATGAGACCCCCAAAGGGGTCAGGACCCCTGGGTTAAAAACCACTGCTATAGACCCTTCCTGGATCCACTCAGCAGCTTTGGGGCTCCAAACTCCTTACCACCATCCCAACACTGAGGGGCACCTTATTTTTTGCCGGAACTTCACAGAAGCAGCTTGTAAAAGCAAGGTATATTTTAGAGTCCTGGGGCAGCTCCTTGGCCCACTGAAGGGTTACTGAGCCCGGCCTCAAGGATGGGTAGAACTCCAGCACCAAAGGGATGCAGGGACTTGGGGCCGAGCAGAAAGCTGGGGCTGAGGCTTGAGGCCAGTCAGTGTGTGACGTGAGGTGGCGAAGCCTTCCAAGAAGCTCCAGCCGAGGCAGCTGCCGAGCAGGGTATGTCAGGGCCAGGATGGAAGGGTGTTCTTTAGCATGCCCCTGGCTGTGGAAGCTACCAATGGACGTAGTCGTGGCCACAGCAGAGGGAACTGGCCATCCGCAGGTATGAAATCCTCCTCCAGAGCGGGCTTCCTGGGAGCAGGAAACCCAAGGCCCTCCTTCTAGCTTTTGCTGGGGCTGCCAGAGGTGAAGCCAGCAGGCCCGAGGTCAAAGGTCACACAAGGAAACACCTTCCCTTGTGAGTCTGCCCGGTGAAAAGGACTGCCCCGCCTTGGGGCTCCTCGCCTCTTTCTACTGATTCATCCTCTGGGCACCTCTCAAAGCTGTGAACTCCTAAGTCCTAGCTTTTCTTTCTTTTTAACAAGTAAGGTTCTGTAAGGCCCAAGTGGGGGTGAGTTTGTGTCCTGATAGCTGTCACTCGGTCTGCGGGACCTCCATCCAGGAGGCACCAGGCACATGTAAGACCCAAAATTAACCTGTAAGCCCCACCTGCCCAAGGACCAGGCAACTTCCTGGGATGCCGGGAGTTGCAGTTCTTAAAAAGTAACAACAAAGCCTCATGGAGAAAGTACAGTGGCCTATGGGTTTTGTCCATATAAAGCCCATACAGTGTGTGTGTCTCAGGGCCACTCAGCTGGGATATTTCCAGGAGTGGTCGACCAAATTCCATCTTGGTCAGTATTTAATATTTTAATAAAGCTTGCTTCAAATTTGGCCCCGAGTGGTGGGACTGGTTTTCTGTGGTGATCTCAGGAGAAATACTCATTGGCTCTCCTTCAAGGCAAGTCCGGATGCGGCCTAGAGTTGGACGCATGGAATCACCTAAGAACTCTCCAAAAGAAACCAGTGCCATGGTCTTCTCCATCCTGGCCAGGGAAGTGGTCCCGTGAAGGGAAACCATATGGACGCAGGCCTGTAGTTAGCAGGCAAGCTGGCTCCACATGGTGCCATGGGAGTTTGAGGGAGGACCAGGCTGCAGGACTCCTGAGGAGGGCCGAGAGCTTGCTTAACGTCAACCCTTCTCCTCAATGTCTGTGTGGCCTTGGGCAAGTGACTGAACCTTTCTGAGCAATCTCCTCATCTCCAATACAGACTAAGGAAAGCATTGTTTATGGTTTGAATGTGCCCACACAAGAGTCAAGTTGACCTTCATCTCCATTAAAAAGCATTAAGAGGGTGGAAGCCTGATCTGACTTTTGGAGATGGGCCTTTGGGGAAGTAATTAAAGACAGCAGAGGCCATGGGTGA